TGCGATCGGATCCTTGCGGTTGAGGTCCAGGGGTGCACACTGCGATCCGGAGCTGGCCAGACAAGATCGGCGAAGCAGATTGGCGATGAAGATTGGCGAGGAAGGAAGCAAGGAGGAAGGAGGATGGAGGAGGACGAGGAGGCGGCGGAGGCGGAGGCGGAGGAAGAACAACTGTGATAAAATCTAACAACCCTCACCTGGCAGGTGGGGAACAAAGAGAGAAATAACACGCGACAAAAAAATCGAAAACAACATGAAAACCACAACAAGAAAGAAACACATGAGTAACACACACAAACACACACACACACTTTGACAATGGGTTTGCAGTTAACTCTATTCCCAGGTCGAAAAGGGTGAAGGAACGGAAAGGCGAGTGAGTCCTAAAACTTGAAGATGTTTAACAAAAGTTTTGCGTGACTGCAGAAGCTAGTTACTGCATTAGCACTTTACTGCAAGAACGGTAAGGCGAAAGGGTCCGAAGAACAGAACTGTTTAACAAACTCACTAGCACTTTACCAACGCTAAAGAAACCTGTTTTGGGGGATATCATGCGAAGAACCACCATGCAATCGGAAACAAAAAAGGAAAAGTGGAGTCACAGCGTAAACAACAGTTTTTGGCAGGTACGTGGAAATGGCGTCCCATTTCCATATCCCCGGATGCATCACCAGCTTCGTTGACCAGGCGACGATGCGTCCTGCCTGGTCCCCTGCTTGTGGAAAACTCTTAGGAACAGAGTGTGACACACACACATCACAAGAACAAACGAAAACAAACCTGAAAACCACAACACAAACTACCAAGAGAGAGAGAGAGAGAGAGAGGGAGAGAGAGAGAGAGAGAGAGAAAGAGATAACAAAACACACATGACACAAACAAGAGACTGAAAGGCATTCAAAAACAAGCGTTCCAGAACGACCCTATATAATCCGGCGTTCCAACCTCCTCCTCCCGTGTGAATGGAAAACGGTCCTTTTCCTCCACCGTCTCATCTTTCTTTGCCCATGGAAGAGGCTCAGCAATCAGCAATTTGTCAATGTCCGGGGAAGGCAAAGGCCCCAGAATGTTATCAGTTGCCTCCTCCGACGGCTTTGGTGGGCGGTCAGTCAGCCCTCGACATTCTGAAGGTCGAAACAGGGAGGGGGTGATAGAGGGAGTGGTGCGCTTTGTTCCGGTCGCCCTCAAGACACCTAGGTCTAGGTGTCCAAAGCGGCCGAAAAAAAACAGGTGTGAGTCTATTGCAGTGGTGTCCAAACATGCCTGTCATGGGCTCGATGTTCCAAACAAATAATTTGCGACTGCCAACCTCATGTGGGCACCTCTAACTCTGCGAGTGGACGATATGTGAAACACTCACAACCCAAGCAGGTCCAGAATTCAGAAGGGGTCCTGTCAGCATATCGCCGCAGCACAAGGAGTGTCTTTGTTGAATGGTGGTTCAAATCTTGGTCCAAGACTGTGTACCACTCACCCGCGAAAACTCTACAAAACCTACCAAAAAGCTGCAACAAACAGCTGGCCTTTGCTTCAAAGGTCCCAGGTGCATACACACACACTGCACAGGCGTGGGAAAGTCAAAGCGCTTTAGGGAACAAGGCGAGAACCTCCCAAGCTTTTCGATCGGCAGCCTTGTATCTCCAGGTTACAAGCCACACCATCGTACAATCTTTCACATTCACAAATGAAGGTCAGATTGTGTCAGCCGCGCACCAGCCCTTTGCACTTGAAAGCTTTTGGCTTTGTCACTCAAAGATCTACCCTACTTCTTCAGGTTGCACCACTTGCTCCGCTGTCCCCCTACCATTCAAAAACATTCAAAAACAAACGCCAGATGTGACAAGACTCCTGGTCAGTCTTTGCATCGGTACCTATGGTGTCTTGGGGCAGCTCGTCATTGCTCGCCGAGCTCAACTGACCTGGCCAAGGGCAGGCGTACAAAAACATGAAGCAAAGTTCCTACAACAAACTCTAAGAATGATAGAGAAGGGATATGATAACTTACTGGAGTCTTGCGTCAGCTTGCGCGCAGCCCACATGGAGGGAAGAGACCAAAGAAAGAAACAAAAGGCGAGCACGCCCCTCGCCATGTTGAGATTTTACAAGCTACGTCAAGTGGTGATTCAGCGTTTCTGGCACCATCGTCTTTGATTTGAGCCCAGCCTAGCGGGATTGACACGTCTCTTTGCTGTGCTTTCATGACACAGCAAGTGGCAGAATGCGTGATGTCACTCAGACCGTGCGCTGCTGGCAATCGAGGGTAGTTTTGTTCCAGCCTTGCTTTGTGGCCTGGTATGGCCTGGTTATTGGGGAACAATGTGCCTTATATTATATATATATTATATAACCTTGCTTGCTGGCCTCCTTGTCGCACAAGAGTGTACCGTACCGTACTCTTACAAAGACCAACTGCTGCATTACTATATGCGACTGCTATTCATCCAGAGTGCCCTTCATCAGCATGTACGTTACGTTCTTCACCTGCGCTTTGCGGCAAAGCAAAAGTTTTTCCGCGCCGAGCATGGCGGATTTGTCGGCAATCCAGCATCTCTCTCGCTCACTACTAGCTAGCTACAAGTACCCGAACTGATTTCATTCCCTCAAGAAGGCTGTCGCGGTGAAGGTATTCACATTGGCATCACGATTGTGAGTGTGGCTAATTCTCGCAGCCTTCTGACGTAGGTCAAATCCCTCCTTCTGAATCCACAACTCCTTCTGGTTACACTGTAGTTGTTTGGAATATGTCTTTCATGAAGTTCTTCAGCTTCAACTCCTTGCCCCCAACGCTGGCCTGGGCCTAGACCATCGAGGTTGATATTCTAACAAACGGAATTATGGTACGGCATGGGGTCTTGCTGCCAAGCTTGAACGGCCCCGCTTCATCAGACAGTTTGCCTCATACGGGAATCCTTCATGCTGATTCACCGGACCACTGCAAAGCGTGCACACCCCAACCAGGGTACAGCTTGTGACCAAAGCTTTTGCGGAAGCTCATGATCAAGTCAACTTGTTTAGCCCTGTATTCACTCTGTGCTCTTCCGAAGTGAAGCGCTCCAATCCATTCTGGACCCCAGAGAACAACGCGGTTCTTTCGTCTCTGAATGAAGTGTCTTCTTTTACTCCGAGTGAGCTCCAGGCCCTCACTTTCTTCACCATCGGAAACCCAAAACAACAATAACAAATCAGGAGCGCCAAACTGGCTGTTGCTGTAAACACGTACTGGAGGGTGTGTATCCATCGCGTTCAATTTCCACGCCCACATGTTCTCTAGAACCAATGTACGTAGTTGAGACTTGAAACCACTGGCCACACTCATCAACGCCTCGCAATTCAATCCATCTAGCAGGGAGGCTTGTAGGAGTTGCCCTTGCAAGTGTGGCGCATGCCAAATTGTCGCTTCAGCGAACCAGTCAGCCAATGCTTCGACCAAACTTGAATTTAAAATGCCATCTGTGACGGAGAAACTGTCCACAAGAGGATCTATAGTAATGTTCACCTCTGCTTTCCTTGGTTCGCATCACTTCGAGCCAGGTTTGAAGACTCCGTCAACCAAGCAGGGCCTAACTAACTATAAAAGCGGCCGATGCGTACTTTGTTAGTTACGTTAAATGAAAAACCACCCAGCTGACAACCCCAACAGCAAAGCATCCACCAAGATCTGGCGGTTTTCTACGCGCAATGTTCGTTGCATTGTTTTTTTCACATATCGAATATCAAAAACTGTTTTCCACCGAAACCATTTTTGTTTAATGCAGTCGCATAGTTGATATACAAAGTTACAAAACAAATTCAATATCCAAACAAAATGCATACAATCCTTTTAACACGAAACACTTAAAAATCTTTGCCGATGGCCAAATTGTATATTCAAATGCCTGCGCATAATCTATACATCTGAACAACCAACTCCATAAATACGGTACAACAACAGATTCCCAAGACACCAGACCAAGCACCAGTAAAGCGTCACCGAGACACCACCAAAGCATGACCAAAACACCAGCAAAGCATCACCGAGGCACCACCAAAACATAACCAAAACACCAGCAAAGCATCACCGAGGCACCACCAAAACACAAGCAAAGCATCACCAAGACACCACCAAAACATGACCAAAACAC